CGAGCGAGGAGCTGCCCGGTGGGGACCAGTTCGGTTACCATCCTGTGTGGCAGACCCTGTTCAGGTCTGTGAAGTTCAACGAGGTTTGGAGGAGGCGGATATGGAGGCCCCGGCACATCAACGTCCATGAGTTGCGAACCTTACTGGCGGCCGAACGCCGCCGCGGCTTGCAGTGTCCTGCTTCTAGCGTCGTGAGTGCCAGTGACTCTCAGGTGTCGTTAGGGGCCGTGCTCAAGGGGCGGTCAGCCTCGCCCAGACTCAACGGGATTCTTCGGCAAAGCTTACCCGAGCACCTGTCTGCTGACATTAGCGGGATCTATGCCTACGTAGGAACTTCCGACAACCCCGCTGATGACCCCACGAGGCATGCCAAAGTCCGCGACCCTCGCGAAGCCATGCCCCGATGGATGGAGCACGCCCTCGGCGGCATGTTCGACGAGCTGGAGGAGTTCTTGCGGAGCTACGACCTGGACACGGTCAGCATGCTGGGGCTCCCGCCTTTCGAGAGCATCGTCCCCCTCGCCGTGCCAGCGCCGAAGCCCTCCCGAGAAGATGCTAGGGCTCTTTTTCTACGGGAGCTGGGGAAGCCTGGGGAGCCCCTCGAAGCTGAGGCTCTCGCCAGGTCTCTTCTGCTTCGTGCCACCTTGACTGCCGAGAACCTCTTGGAGCTCAGCCGCCTTCTCCCTCGGGAGGCGCCTGCTCGGGGGCCCGGAGATGCCGAAGCCGGTTCCTTCAGTGGTGGAGCTTTCGTTCACGGCGGCGTGACTGGCGTCCGTCGCAACAGCAGGAGTTTTCCCTCGTCCGAGCAGGTCGTCGCGAAGTTTGCGGCCGAGCACTACCCGGACCACGAGTACACCAGCTTCGTCTTCCTGACCAACTTGAAGACGCCGGCCCACCGGGACTCCCACAACAGTGCCTCCAGCTTGAACATGATTGTCAAACTCAGCCCCTTCTCTGGGGGCGAGATATGGGTCGCCGACTCGGGTGGAGAGGAGGTTGAGACCATCAACGGAAAGGAGGTCCGTGGGCGAAACCTTGCTTTCGACAATGGCGTGGTTTTCCTCCGCCCCCGCTCGTGGCACCTCACTCGGGAGTGGAGTGGCGAGCGAGTGGTCCTGGTCTTCTACTGCATTCGGGACTACTTGAAGCTTGCCCGGGCCGATGCAGAGCTCTTGTCTGCAGCCGGCTACAACCTCCCGAAGGACATGTACAAAAAGTTTCGATCTTTGAAGCCGCCGCCTGTGTCCGCTTCGGCCGGCCCAGTCGGATCTTTGGTAGCAAGGAAAGATTATGAGTTAGAGCAGCGGCGCCGCGTCGACGAGACGGCGTGCGAAGGCTGTGTGTTTGACCTCCACCCTCACATCACGGACGTCTTGCTCAAGTTTGACTCCGAGCAATTTGTCCTTCCGAAAAAGAGCAGAAAGAGACTTTCTGAGCTGTTGCTCCGCCCCGGCTACTTGGACCTCTACTCCGGCAGCGCGGGGGTGGCGCACGAGCTTGCAGCAGCCAGCGGGACATGGGTCCTGACCTTCGACTACGCCCGCTCCGCTGCCGAGGACCTCCTTGAGCCCGGGCTTCAGCAGACGCTCCTGGAGCTGACTCGACTTCGTGCGTTTGCGGGCCTGGGTGCCGGGCCTGTGTGTTCTTCCTTTTCTCGGGCGATACGGCCCCCGGTCAGAGACAAAGCTAACCCCTTGGGACTGCCGGGCCTTCGCTCCAGCATGTACGCTAAGGTCATGGAGGGCAACCAGCACGCCGAGTTTGTTGCCGCCCTCGTCTCAGAGTTTCAGCTCCTGTCCCTCCCCTACTGGGTCGAGAACCCCCACGGAAGCTACTTTTGGGAAGTGCCATCCATCAAGAACCTGCTCGGGGAACCTTGGAGGGACTCTTGCTGGGTGTTGGACTACTGCGCGTTCGGCACTGCTTGGAGAAAACGGACGCGGTTCTTCGTTGGACGTGAGCTAGGCGGACAAGAGGTCCGCTGCCCTGGGTGCAGAGAGCATCAACGACTGGTGGGCTATTCTAGCTACCACCGCCGGCAGTGGACCAAGGTCGCCGAAGTTTACCCCCGGGCGGTCAACTCTTTGCTGGCACACCACTTGGCGAACTCGAGCCGCCCCGTTGGTCTACGGAAGCGCCTGGACCTGGCTGCTTGCGCTCGCTGTTTGGGAGCACGGATAGGAGAGGCAACAAACCCTGGACCTCGACCCCGGCAACCCCACCATGGCTCTCTGGAGGAGGTCAACCTCGTCACCGAGACCACCGTGAAGCTGCAGAACCGTGTCCTCGCTGACTTCGAGGGTTGGTTGCGTTCAGGGCTTAGCGACTCTGCTCTTAGTAGCCTCTCTAGCTGCGCCATGGCCTACTGCACCATGATCCGGGCCTACGGAGACCACCTCTACCGCAGCAAGGGCCCCATGTATGTTTACCGCCACCTGCTGGCTTACATGCAAAAGAATCGGCTGGGGCTGCGACCTTACCTCCCTATGGCTTGGGATCTGCTGTCGCGCTGGGAAAGAGTCGAGCCTGTCCAGCACCGAGTTCCTATGCCCGAGGCCCTATATAAAGCGATGTTTGCTTTAGGACTGCTGCGCGGATGGTTTCGCTGGTGCTCTATCTTTGGCATAGCCTATCACGGCATCGCCAGGGCAGGAGAGCCTCTGCGAGCCCTCCGAAAGGATCTTCTGCTTCCTTCCGACACTTTGTCGCCGCTAGCGACAGGGTCTTTCATGGCTGTGCGAGGCCCGAAGACTGCTTACCGAGGGAAAGGACGGGTCCAGCATCTCTGCATAAAGGATGCCAGCTTCAGCGCTTTTCTGGAATACGTGTACAGTCGCGTGCCTCCGGAAGAGAGGCTCTACCGAGGCTCAGCCTCCGCCTTTCGGAAACGCTGGGACGAGCTGCTTCTTCTGCTGTCGGTTCCGAAAGCCGCTGGCCTCACGCCTGGAGGGCTCCGAGGCGGAGGTGCCGTGAAGGCTTATAAGGAAGGCGTCGGAATACAAGATTTGATGTGGAGGATGCGGGTCAGACATGCTGTCACCTTGGAGTCCTATCTTCAAGAAGTGGCGGCCCTCTCGGTCGTGCCGAAGCTCCCGCCCGAGAGCCGACGCCGTGTCACTGCTGCTTGTGTCTTCTACCAACCGGCTTTGCTCGCCTTCTCTACAGCAGTGGTTAACGCTTTCTAAGCTGTTTGGGGCAGCGGCGCACGCTGCTCCCGCCGCTGTGGCCGCGAACTCACAGGTGGAACAAGACTTCAGTTTCCGCTTTTTGTCTGCAGCGGCTTGCGCTTTCGAGCTCTACGTCGGCCGGCTACAGCACTTCGGCTTTGCTTGGAGTCTTGCTACTCTTCGACCTGCTGGGCTACGGCTGCT